GGCCCTCAAATCAGTTCTTGAGTTGGCAAACTGCAAGTGTAAGAAAAATAGTCAAAATAATTTATGCAAGTGTGCCAAAATCAACTTAAATTGCACAGATTTTTGTTTTTGTATTGACTGCAAAAATCACAGTACACTTATAGAGGAAAAGTCGATTTTCGAGATAGTGGATTTCGAAAACAATTCAGAAGAAAGTGAATTAGATATTGCAGTTGGTTTAATAAGTATCATTTATTTATTTATTTTTTCGGACATTCGTTAGTGTCGTAGTCCTGTTTCTAGAAATAATATTGCCTTTGTTCAAATACATAACCACATAAACTAAAAAAAGACTAATTGTAATATTTCTGTTCACTATGTTATGTACATATTGTACATTCATTTAATTTTCTTGACTTTTCCGGTAAATTTCTAGGTGAGAAATAACTGATTTATTTGTGTTTTCGTGCTCACGATGTTAATTTGTGACTTCATTCCCTAAAAATAAATACGTTTGATAGCTTCTATGAAATGGATGTAGCTTTTTATGCTGTTCTTGTTGTAAACTGCTTGCGGTCATTACATAAAATTTATTCGCTAATGTGAATCAGCGTTGTTGGTGTCGCTGCTTTCGAGGTCACTCGCGACTTCTGTCACACAATTAAAGTATTTTTTGTTGTTGGTTACATGTATGCCATATTTTTCGTAATCTACCTAATAAATTATGATTGACTGAGGAAGTCCGATTTTGGTCAGACAAAACATTACAGGAATACATTTGTGTTAGTGTGCTGTAGGGCTCTCGAATTGCATAGTTCTTATGTATGTAATGTAAACTTATGGTTATTGAATTTCCGGGAACCTCTTTTATTCAATTTTGCATCAGGATTGTGGAACAAGCTGTAATGTGTTCAGTATGTTCATTTTCACACAAAACTGAAGAATTTATTTAGTTACCAAGTGTGCGCTACGAAACTCATTTTCTAGGCGTTTTCAAGGCTTCGTCTCACGGCCCATATCCGTGGTAAGGATCTACAAGTGTTTGATAACTTACTTATACATTTTTCAACAACGTCTTAGCATAACGTAACCAATATAAACCAAACATGGCTATGGAAAGGCTGCCCAACTCAACGCAAGGTCGAGCAGTAACAACTAATATTCATCCGCTCGCTAACGAACTTTGCCGATGTCAAATATTATTATGTATCATCTATGTCGCAACCTTCATCAATTGATAGCATACTGACTGATGATACTGACTGATATTTGTGGTAGAGGAAGTGAGTAATTCATCGAAATGAAATATTGTGGTGGGTTAGCTTCCTTCGATTGTTTTGCGTGGTTATAAAAAAGAGCGTATGAATTGAGTCCAAAACAAAAACGTGAAGAAGACTCTTTTAAATCTCCAATTATTTTTGATTTTTTTATCGTGTTGTCTCTTTTTACAAATGCATTTGTTGTGCATATCGCGGTACAAAATACACGCCTGTGTTATTATGAGTTTTCTATGACCAAGAGGAACAATTATCGTTTCTATAGAGTTTTTTAAGAAGCTAGCCTAAAGAATGGGAAACATAACAACTTCTAATACATCTTTTACAATTGAAAAAAAGAGGTTGCCGGATGTTCATTATTTTAATTTTTTTCAAATTCTCCCCGAGTCCGAGTGAAATTTGGATGTTTTTAGTCAATTTGCTAAACCACTTTTTTCTGCCAAGCCTGTCCGCCAATCATGTCGGTGTATTCAGTTAAGGTTTGCCGTTACCGATGTGCGACCCATGCATTTAGACATTGCTGTCTTATTTACAAACAGTTGCGACTCTTTCATTTAGATAAAAATTCAAAAAAAGGAAAAATCAAAACGATGTGTTTCAAGATTATATATATACATACTCATTCATTATTTTAATTTGTGTATACAAAACATTAACATATACAACAGACGATGACAGCAATGGTAGTGACCTAGAGATTTTTTGAACAGTTTTGTTTACTTAAAATGATTGTTTTATTTGTTTATTAGCACAATTGCCATATGTCGCACGTTATTGTGTTTAACACGCCATCCCCGACACATTGCTTTGCATTTGCATATATTCGAGAATATGATTTCTTGAGAAACAATATATTTTCTTTCTGTTATTTAGTAAAAGAAGTGACTTAGAATGATTCTTCGAAACCAAGTAGGCAAATGTGAGTGGGTTAGCTTCCTTCTATTGTGTTGCTTGTTTCGATAAATTACCTATGAAATGTGTCCAAAACAAAAATATAGAGACTCCCAATACTATTTTTTTTACTGTGTTTACTCTTTTAACTAAATTGGTTTTTGTGCTTTTGGCGGTGCAAAATACACATCTGAAGTTTTTTAAAGCTCATTTGAGTTTACTATGACTAAGCGAAACAAATACTTCTTTTTATAGAATCTAAAACAAATTTAATAATTTCCAATGAATCTTTTACGATTTAAAAATTTTAGAATATTAAAATTCAATAATTTTGACAGAACTCTAATAATTAAATTTTTTTCAAATATCCTCTGAGCCCTGAAAATATTGCTGTTTTATTCAATTCGATGACCATTTTTTGTGATCTATGGGATCAAAGGATTTCGTCGCGCTTGTCCGCCGACTCTCATGTCTGTATTCAGCTAAGGCTTTACCGTTACAGATTCGCGAACTTTGTGTCCATATATTCTGGCATGTCTTTTTGTTTACAAAGATGAGAATCATTTTGTTAGATAGTTAGTCATATGGGGTCTTCGAAGCCTGTCCGCTGTTTTCATGTCGGTATCCAGTTACAGTTGCCGTTACCTTGTGCCATATATTGAGCAATACTCTCTTGTTTAAACAGTTGGGACTCTTTCATTTAGATAGCGATGCTTTGAAAAATATATACCAGGACAAATCAAAACGATGTGTTTCACGATTATATACATATATAACTGGTGCCCTACTTGCACAAAAAACACATAAATTTCTCAATTTCTTCTACGCAAAGTGAAGAGTAAAAATTTCCTTAACACTAAAATATTTGAAACTTGTGTTTGTGTAAGATTATAACCAAGAGTTTCAGCATTCTAGCACCTTAACACAAAAGTTGGGCTTTCCTTAAATATGTTTTAATGACCTGGATTCTGTTCTGGATAAATTTTATGTCAACAAAATACAAAGTTAATCACGAATTAAAGATTTAAAATAGAAAGAAGAGGTGTGTCAGTTTCTTCGAAAATCACCCAATATTGACAATTTTATGTTTTTGTCAACGTACTTATACTCATACTTCCAAAACTATGCGTTCTGGACTATCTAGTTCACCATTTCTTTAGATTGCTGTATAAAGAAATGGTGAACTTTTATCACTCGTACACAGTGGTACACAGTAATTTGAGAGTTGTCCGTAAATTGTGCAATTTCATCCTAGTCCAGGCGTCGCAAACATTTTTCACGTTTGGTTCAAAAATTTACTTATCATGTTTCTCGGCTAGCCGTTAGTAATTTATAGCAGTTACCTATTATAAAAAATGATTATTGTTGTTGTACTAGTGCATCTGTTTGTTTTCACGAAACCGCATTAAATTCAAGATATGGATAGATAAGATTTATCGCGGTCTCATGCTCAAATACGTGTAAGTTCGTGTGAAATATATATATATTGATACCGTAAATATAATGACGTTTAGATTCGTTTACGCCCAAAACAAGTTTTCGAACGGTACGTTATTCTCGGCCAGCACCAGCCCAATGTGTATCGTGACCCGCACGCGCGCATGTGTGATTAATTGCATCATTAGTCAGGAATGGCAGATGCGAAATCCGGTTTTATTCTGCATAATTTACTGATTGTGCGGGTAATAAACAAAACAAATGCTTCACTTGAGTCCGGGTCTGAATATCTTTATTTGCAGTCTTACTAAGAACATAAATAAAACATGATTACATGGATGAGATTTATTGATTTAGTGGGTTTTGCATTCAAAGATTGAAGTGATATATTGGAACCAATAGTTACTTTTTATTCCATGCACTCGTTATTGCAGCGATAAGGTTAGGTCTTGGTGATTATTTAAAACATTATTGGCGTTTTCAACAAGATTTCCATTGTTCACAGCTACTCATTAGAAACCAAAGAGAAATAAACTCATTGTACATAGTCTCGAACAATTACCGAAATATCAAAACACACTGAATCCACACGGACTCATGACGGTGTGTAACGCGCTATACTAAATACCGGTTGGAAGAGAGACTAGTCAATATAAACATGGAAACGGCTAAGTAGTCGCAAGGACTACCTGAATGAAGTTCTTAAAACAATTGGGCACAAAAAATCCCTTTCGTCCGACGTTGAATGGCTGACTCCTTGATCAGAAGGTTTCAAGATAACAGAATCCGTTATAATATTTGTGAAATAAACACGAGACAACACTTCGTCGGTAGAACAGGTTTAGCAGCCCGGTCCCCAATTCTATAATAATTTTCAATTCATTCTATCATATTTATAAACTACCAAGGTCAAAATTTGTCAAGATGCTGAATAGAACATGATCACAGCACTATGCTAACTAGATATATCCTATGAAGATAGCACAATACGGCTAAGGTTCGATAAGAGTAAATCTGAAAAAACCTAACTCTGAAACCATTAAAACTGAAAGATGCCTGAATCCAATGATAAAATTACCCAGCATTTTAACCGACTTATGTTTAATAATCACTATCAGCCACTGGGTCCCATTACCGTAAACTGCCAGGCACAATTTAGCACCACGCAAGATACAGTGATGATGTTAATTAATTCTACCATATTCAGTCAAAATTACATTTTAGTCAGAATAAAAAAAGAAACAATAGATGTTCAAATACCACATTATTATCGAAAATTTGATATGTCCATTATCATTATCCAAGTTAATGCAATAAAAAGTCAAGCTTAAAATTTTCAAATACTTTTTTCAATCAGATGAGAAAATTAAAGAGTTTAAATTAAACACGTGATTATATTTCACCCAAAACATAAATTCGTGTAAACATGTTTAGATATTCAAATTAGATACTCATTGACTCCTTTGTACTTCTTGTTTTGAAATCAAAAACGATTAGTAATTGAATTTAAACAACGTTTCAGTTTGTTTTTTAGTTTGAAACTGATTAATTTCGGATATTTCTGTTTTACTTATTTACCTCTGTTTTTTTTAAATTTAGAACAGAAAGGAAATGATTTTTATCAAATATATACGAAAGAAATTTTTTACTCTAATTGCTATTAACGTGATAGAAAAAAGAAATTCACAATGAACTTGTTAGGAAGGAAACAAACATCGCTACTCATGACATTCCAGACTTCAAAACACATGGTGTTATAAATTGATCAATCAGATTTAAGAACATTTTCAACATTTGTCATGTCCAGTGAGACATTTTTGAGCAGAAATACGAAACCATTTTAAAAGAATAAAAATTGTGTTGCACACGTGAATAAAAAGTAACTATGTCAGCAAACTTCTTGATTGGTCAAAAACCATAATAAAAATGCAATTTATTTTGCAACAATAGTTCAATGTGAACCGATATGTAGTTGAGCTGGTTAGCATTTTTAGACGCGAACTAGTCTCGAACATAGAATGGTCGCGAACTAAAATACACTCAATACATTGCCAAATGGATATCAATTTGTGCGTTCCACACCGTGGATAGATCTCTCAATCGATTTATTAGAAATTTTTTCTTTTCTTTTTAAACTCAAGCCGAACTCGAGTTATCACCCAACTTTTGATTCTACGCGTGTTATTCTGGAGGATTCATCGGCTCGAGTTCTGTCATGTTTCGAAGATCTTCTTGAGCGTCTTTCTTCTTTTGTGCGTATCTGCTCTCGAAAAATCCAGCCTGTAGAGAATGAATTGAAATTTAAAATTTCGTTGCTTACAATATCACATATCTCTAGTTTTGTAATTTGGATAAAAGACTTTCATGTTAAGCGTATAATTATGGTGAATATATATGCCAGGCTTCATTAGCGTAGTTGTTGGCACAAATCAACCATGTGCCATGGAAGGTCATACTTCTCGGACTCACTAACAACAGGTTCCGTGATTTCACAAAATATAGGCATATCACTACATAATCTGCTTTAACATGTCACGTTTTACAATTTACATAAATATAATGCATAACTGTCAAAGCGCCAAATCAAACGCTAGTTGTCAACTGCGGTCTTCCAACTCCCAATACCAAAAATAGGAACGGGTTCGCTGATAACCCGATATTTTAAGAACAGGCTTGCAAATTCCCGAATCCAACCACTGGTCGAATGTATTTTACTTTGAACTATGCATAATGAACATTTATTTTGCTCTACGCAAACGTAATGCGTTAAACCTTGGGAGAATGTGGCCTCTGATAAAAAATATTGACGATGAAACGCCATGCCACAGAAATGAAATGCCGTGGCCAGTGCAGCATGGGTGACGAATCTGGATGTAGCGTGGTTCTCGTGGTTTGGCGACAAAAATATGAATCATACAATCATTCTTTCTATTTAAACTTGAACAATTCCAAAATCATGGGTGTCTAAAGCTCGTTCATGTAACAATGAATGTTTCTCTCGCATTTCTCATAACTCTATTTAGACCCACGTTGCACATCGAAAGACATGTGCCCCGCCTTTTATCAAAGATTCACCTTGTTATGAAACATATAACTCACCCATCTACAAATTAAAAGAATTATCAATAATAATAGAAGTCCGGCCAGGATACTGAGTATGTAAGCCCAGATTGGTATAGAAAAAAATGTCTTGACTTCGGTAACTGTATCTTGCACGCGCGGTGGGTAGATTATTGTCGCAATCTAAAATAAAATGTTTTGTAGTAGTAAAGTAGTAATATTATAAAACAAAACGAGAATCTATAAATTTCTATAAATTTCTTTATTTATATAGCAGTCGAAATCGCAAAATAAGAACTGCACTGAAATATTTCTAGAAGTGATGGGCGAATCGTTTTTAGCACATGGAGTATATAGATAATAAGAATAATCTAGATTTTAAATGAAATTTCAATGTCAATATGGATTAAATTTACTTAACATTCTTTTCTCCAAACGATTAATTGATCCTTGGCTACATAATTTCCGGCTTATCGAGGAAATTTTATGTTGAAAGTTTTTTCTCCAAGTCTCCTCGTTGTGGAATTCGTTTCCTATTCCTCTTTCCTGATATTACTAACTAGTACCAATACTATCTCGTATTAATCGCTAACTACTGGCAACTCTATTGCAGGTAGAAGCTCGCATATACAAGAAAAAGTATAAGTTTAAGTGCGATGGCTCGGGTTTTTCTATGAGATCTTTTTCAGTTTTAGAGGAGGACACTAGAGCTGATTTGAACAGATTTTTGTGTAATAAACACTGACTTATACGCGTCAGAAGGTAAAGTAAGATACAACTTACAGAACGTTCGTATATTTGTTCTTTTGAAAACTTAAACCGGCTTTTGTGATCCATTGTTATGCTGAGTACTGTTGTTAATGAAAGTTGGTTCTGGCAATGAAAACAATAAAAAAATAAACAAGGCTGTGCGACATTAAAGACACATATCGAATCAGCTCATCAAAAACAATTAAACTCACTTTCAAGTTTTTGAATTGTTTTAAATCAACAACTCCATCCATCGTCAGATATACTAATTTATTTGCCGGAATGTTGCCAATATGAATATCTATAGTTGGACATATTACCGCTGAACTTGATTTGCATGACTGAAAAATTAAGATATTTTTTATAAGGTATTATTCAGCAATAAGATGCACACACGAACCCATTGTCGTTACTCCACTCTTTGCTATAGGGGGACACAGTTAGATGTATAAATAGTGCTGTCCCTAATGGGCATGTACACTCCATATAGATGAAATAAAATAAATACAATTTTTGTAACTTGAGATAGATTTCTGTGTATGTCTTCCGGGCACAGTTCTACGATAGAATTTCAAGTATGAAAATATATCAAGCAATGATAGGATGACGAAAAGATGACGTAATCTAAAAAAGAGTCACGGAGTTCTGTGCGTTAACCACCTGGTGACCAACATAGGAGTAGGTATCTGGTTTAATGCTACTAATGCATATACATAAATATGTGAGTGGAAGGTTAACGGTTAAGAATAACAAGCGCTATAGAATCTGAGTTTGGCCATATTTTGGTGTCTGTTACGACGTGTTTGGGCGGAATCGGAGTCTTACGTTCACAAATTCGGTTTCGAAAAATCAAAACGCTAGTAAAAACCATAGTTTTAAAGCGAGTTTGAAAATCCAATCCCTAACTTTCAAGCACCCGTGATTGGTATGCACACACACTGACGTTTAGTGCAAATTGTCATTGATCCATGTCATTGAATACCGGTTTTGAACACTGAAGGTAATGTAATACATACGTTATTTTGCGGGTTATTGCAAATTCCTGAATCGTTTCTTAGTAATAAAATATTACTTGTTGTCTGTGTCACGCACTGGACTTGTTTCTGTCAATAAAATAGATTTGTTATAACATGATTAGTATTATTAACCTAGTTTGAGCAGTTTCGGAAATATGGTTTTAGTATTTCACTATAACTTTACTTTACTTTAACACAGCTGGTACAGATGTTTTCTGATCAAATAATAGAATTAAACTAAAACGCTACTTACTTGGTCTTCACAAATTTTGTGATTGAGATATTTTGTAAAATATGGAAATCCATCCTGCGTTGCACAAGTTTCCCACTCAATCATTATCCTGACATTATGAAATGCAAATGCACCTGTATTCACAATCTAAAAAGTAGGAAAGTTGGTTTTTAATTCTAAATTTAATCTCTATCAATTTAATTGTCTTCAGTTATTTTTTTTTAAAGTGTGTATTTTTTCCTGACATAAAAATTAATTAACTCGTACTAAATAATATTACAAAGTCATAAATTGAAAACTAAATCAGTGGAACCGAGGAGAAGTAGGGTTTGTTTTGATAGAATTGCTGTTGTTGTCATAGCTGTGTTGTTGTCATAGCTTAAAATAACCCTAAAATTATTACCAAATAGAGATGGAAGTGTTCTCTTGACGGTTATTCAATATCCAACCGTCATATTTTAATTTAAATAAACAGAGTGCTAACAGCAAGTTGATATAGTCGGCACAAGATTGTCGAAGAAGGATAGGTCTCAAATTCGAGTTATTGATGTGTTAGTAGGGGCTGCGTGCGTTCCATAAGTATTTTTTTTCACTTGCGACTTTGTAAAACTGAGTTTGATACTTTCGTGTGTTTTCATAATATTATTTGGATTCTTTGTTTCGTCATAACCTGAACAAAACAAAGCTTGGTGTCGATAACCCGTACTATTCCATGAGTTAGAAGTCTACCATTTCTTCAAGAGATCTTGTTAGATACCACTAAACTACAACGTAACTGAATAGTATTTTATTGATCCATTCCCTTATTGGCTAGTAATAATAGAATATTTTACTCGACGAAAATGATGCTAACGGGTGCCAATGATTAATAAAAATTATGATTATGCAAATATTCAAATGAGGCTGGTTTAATCAATAATAGTTAATCTTAGCATCTGGAGATTTTAGATCATGGAAGAAATGAATATTTGAAAGATTATACGTACCGAATATACATGTTGAAAATTGGAAAAAATTCCATTTGACGAATTTGTAGAATTATAGATGAAACCTGATATTGATGGTGGATAACTTGCTCTGAAAATTATTAGTTGAGTTATTTGAAGTAAATTCAACACAAGAATGATCATGAAAGCAGTAGAGATATAATACATTCCCCAACAACCAAAAAATGCCAGTTCACTCCCAATATCATTTTATACTTCTAGATTCTGTTTCTTATTTCTACGCAAAGCAATGTTTATGCTAAAGCTAATCGTGACCACTGAAACATAACTATATTCCTATTCATCACATGGATGCTTTCTTCTAAAATAACTTGCCATCTGTCTGGGAATTTATTGTATACTCTGTATTTAAATTTTATCTAAAAAATCTATCAGTCGAGAAGTTACAGAAACAAAATGTTGGATTGAAAAAAAAAATTAAGTTTCGAAAGCCTGTTAATTAATTAAGTTCTTTATTGAAACATTGCTCATTCAATTATCAGTTTATTTTAAATACCCATTAAGATTGAAAGAAGATTTATATTTAATCGGTATTTTCAATTTCTTCACATTGTCATTGTTGTTGATGTCTTTACTAACTGTTGATGCGTTGATGGAAAAACTAATTGATTTTGTTGTTGCTGGTTGCACGCTAGGTGTCGCTAGAAATATGATCATCCCTCTGCAATTTTGGTTCTGTTGGGAAGAGTTGAATGTTTGATAAATAAAATAGTGAAGCAGAAACGCAAAATTATGATGAGACGAATTATGAACATTGAATAAAGATGATGCCGAACAAATTTATGGTATTTTTAAATATTTTTATGAAGCTATTTAAAAGGTAAGTTTTTTTAAGTAAGGATAGATTTTAATTTAAAATTGGCTTTATATATGCGATTAAGCTTTCGTGTACAGCCTGTTTTTGGAGGCTTGGGAGGAGTGGGAACATCCCAGAAAATCAATAGGAGGAAATATATCTCTGAGGCCGGATATTTGCTACATTTGCGAAGAACACGATCTTCAGTGAATATGTTGTATACAGATTTTAGTGACTCAATTTTCTATTCTATATTAAAAAATTCTACAATCTACATTCTGCTTATTTTGGGTATGTATACAGCCTTAGACAACGGCGGTCTCTGTTACGTACAATAACATGCTGTTGCTTATATTACTTTTGCTCTTTATTTTTATTTGTGGTAGGTTTAAAATATAGAATATATATTCTTGCAACTTACTGAGCTAATGAAAGTCTTCGACAATACAAAAAATAACTTGTTAAATGTTTCATTCATGTTAGATTCTTTCAAGTATTCAAAACATTGGGTCTGCAATAAAAACAAAACAACTTGGGTTATTCGATAAATTGATCATAAATGTTGATCATTATTGCATCACATAATACCACATTACGCTGATCTTTCTAAAACCTCATATTAATGAAACAACTAGTGTTGCTTAGGCTTTTTAAAAAATTTGCAAACTCAACAATTTAACATGGAATTTTGCTATATAATGCTGACAAGACACTTACAAATGACGGAAATGAACCACAGGGTTGGCTCATTGTCAATTTCAAAAGCAATCAATGGTTTGTATGATATTGCCCTGCATTTTGAATATACCATTGACGTAAAGAACTATACATGAACCTCCATACATACCTCCGTTATTGAACTGTATATAAAAGACGATGGATATTCCACTGTAACAATTACTGAGTGTGCATCTTCTGGACCTCTGTTTTCTAATTCCAATTTTAGTTTCAGCAATTTTATTATTGACAATTCGTACTCATTTATTTTTAATCTGTTAACATGAATTGTAGAAATATTAGTTGTATCTTCACGTATTAATTCGTTTTGTTTTTACAAATATCTGGTTACTGGTAACATTGTGGTTTCAGTAGTAATCTACCAAATTCGGTGATATTTTGCGTAAACGTTAGTGAGTTATATTTGAACAAAACATTGTATGCTTCAATGTTTTTGTTGAAGTTCTCCTCCATTTACATGGGCTCTGATCAACTAAAATCCTGCTCAATTCTGCGTGGAGAAAGTTTTAGTATCATGTTAACTGTCACCATTTTGTTATGAAAGTTACGCTTAGTAATTTATCATCCAAAGAAGTATTTTAAATTATTTTTTTTCCCAGGTTTTAATTCAGGTACATCACTTCCCTTCATCTTACATCCTATAATAATTCTGCGAGACTTCGAAATTTCAATTTCACATCACTTTTTAGTTACACCTCATCATTAGCAAGCTTTCAACATGGAAGATGAATGTTAACGTACATCCCAGTGCAAATATAGTGTAGTGGCCGTGAATGTAATTGTCGTACAACATGTAAAAATATATTCCATGTTTCATCTGTGTACTTATTATTATAATTTACTTACCCGTCTTCATCGACTGGGTCTGACTGTGCGATTGAAATATCTGCAACACATGAGGACGTGTCTTCGCAGTATGTTTTGAAGAATGCTGTAGCTGGTACTGTTTTTATCGCTGAACTGGAATTATTATGAATTTAGTTACCATCGATATTCTGGAATCTAGATTATAGTAGGCCCGTCAAATACGGACACCACTATAGCAAAATCTCAATTTCTCGTAATCTTTACCATATAGAAGCGTGACTCCCGTATTAAAATAACCAATTTGAATGTGCCCTACAGCCCACTGTCGCTTTCGGCAATCCGACTAATATTTTGTTAGATATGAGCATTTTTTCCCAAAAAATTTATTCGGGTAAAACGAACATTAAACAAAATTAATTGAAGACACTACTAAACTATTTGAATGCGTATAAAACGCCTAAAAAAATCATAAATAATAAGCCTCGAGAATTACAGTGGAGGCACGCAATGATGCTCATATTACCCCACCAGACATGAAAACTTATTAACCATCCAGGCATGTACTTGCAACCGAACAAAAGCTTTGCTAATGCATGCACAAACCTTAGTTGATCAACTGAATGTCCTTTACCATAAATAACATAACGAAATTAACCTAATGAAACAGGCAAGTTATTTGTATGTAAATTATTACTGGCATTCCTCACATGTGAAAGCTTGAACGTTTCTGCCATAAACACCAGCACAAATGTCATGATACCATCTGAGGCATTGCTGACATTGTATCCACCCCTCATCATCGTAAAAATTGTCTTCACAAAACCCACAAACATCACTATTTCTAACAGCCTTGGCAGATTTTTTCCTGTTTATAATTCTTCCTACTTTGACCTTGCTCACATGAGGTTTATTCAAACTGCTGGCTTCTATTTTCTTGGACCCTGCTTTTGCTTTTTTTCTTAGTTATAATACCAGATTCCTTTTTATTTTCTAGAACTGCTAGTTCTTTCCTATATCCTTCACTGGTGAGTATTCTTATACCAGTTATGATCGCTTTCTCACGAGGTGGTTTTAGTCGAGGTGGGGCCTTCGAAAAGGGCAGAATCTCTTCAAATGAAGTGTCACTCAAATGCAATAAACTATCCTCTGGAGATGCTACTCTGTTGTTCTGTAGACATTTGTTGTCTAAACTTGGAACCTGATGTTTGCTGAATAGTTTTACTGCAACAAGGTGAATCGTTGTCAGCTTGCTGCAAACAACATGCAACAAAATTATTACTTGTCGACGAGCTAGTAATGTTGAGCGGTGGTTGGGAAGTGATGTTGCTACTTGCTAGGCTCTCCTAAATCGAGGTTTACTAAAGTTTGACAGGGGCAAGTTTTCGTATCGTTCCCGAACGCCACTCCACCAGTCTTTTCCAGCCATTTTAGCAGATTCTGAAAATTTATTAGAAATTTTGTTCACCATTGCAAATTCATAAGCCAACTTTCGAATGTCTTTAACCATTAATGGGAAGCCTCTCATTTCAAATTCGAGTATATGTTGCAAAAGATCCTTTTCGTTCTGGCCCAAGGTAGGAGACAACCAAGACTCCGTGATCCCGGGGCATGATTCAGTGTTCGATAAACATGAAAGCGAAGTGTAGCCCTTGGAATCGAATATGTACGTGCTTCAGTCGGGAGTATCCCCCGCTTTGTACCATTTCAATTGCTTTTTTTATGTTTTTTCCATCCATTGACATCTTTTACTACTTCTCTTCCATTTACGAAGCATAATTCCTGAACAACAATTCAAAATCTGAGACAATGTCCCTTTTGGGGTGAAATGGACACTAAAAACAAGAAAGCATATTGTTTTGGACTGGTAGACTGCAATGAAACAATTTATATCCCAAATAAACACAACTCAGATAGTGTATAAATCTGACTACTTTTTATTTTGTAATTGCATAACAACAGAGCCTAAGATGAAAATTAAAAAAAATCACCCCCCTAATTGTCATGACGTCATGAAGTTTATTTCGATCTCCCACAAGCAATCATCTGCGCAGTCAGACTATGCAAACGCCTTTAAAACCTCATGAGGTAAAGTAAAAAAGAAATAAAATTGTTCATTACCTTATAGTTGGTGTTTTGGTCCCACAACTGACGTTGAAACTCAATATGATAGTAAATACCCACTTTTTCGCCCCTCCAAAATCGAACCCGTCAGAAAATCGCAAGCATGATGACGAGATTTGCGGCAATGGCGACGTATTCGCTTCAGCGAAACTACGCTTAGTTACGTAACAAACGAGCAGTGAAACCGCGGCCGTAGCTCTTATGGTGTCGCTGTGAGATCAAATCGAAAAAATGTGTCCGCATCACCCCGCCTGTCCGTTCTCCCCCGACCTACTATATATGGTTTTATAGTGAACTGAAAAGTCACACCCAGAGCAACGGTTTGAATGGATATTGCGGATAGGTGGGTCTAGTGAGTGCAATGGCCCAGTATGGGGTAATCCCAAAGTAAGTGCACCAAGATGGCGCACAACCTGAATATAGTATGGGTACCAGGTTGAGGTTCAGGTTGTGCGTCATCTTGGTGCACATAGTTCCGGAGCACCCAGTCTAGTAGTTGAAGAGTCTGACTATGTTAGTATAGCGTGTTAAAAATCTTGAACTCAAATTTCATGCAAACACTCTCATTTAGAGTGCAATAAATTAAGTCAAATAGATTGGAGTGGGAAGGACTACGTATATCACGCCTTTGGAATTAGTCGATTGGTGTGATTATAAAAAATACCGGTACACGGACTTCCTGAAGTATGCGCATGGTGCATGAATCTGGTTATGCATCTTGGTGCCCATACTTCAGGAGCACCACATACACTCCCATGAAAATTATGTAAATGCTAGAAACTTACAAATCTAAAACCGGCGTTAGTTTGCTTCCATGGTATATATCATCAGTTTCGTTGAATTTGAATTCATCCATGTCAAATTCCAGTTCAAAAGTTAAGTTTGTCATCATGTCTCTGATATGTTCCTATTAAGTTAAAAACAGTAATTCAATTATTGCACGATAATAACTTAACTATGACTGTGAAAATCAGTAAAAATAGAAGAAGATGAAAAGGTGTATTTCAGAAGAGTACGTGCGTCTAGCATAAAACACGGCCGTTCAGCTAATAGTTCATAATAAAAAAAATTGATGATATCGAGTGTGGCAATCTTGTTTCTGTCATAAATATATATATACATATGTTAAAAAACCTGTTTTATTGTTATGTTTGTCTTGTGTAAAATTGTATTATTACGATTGTGCATTCAACATATTTATATATTCGATGTTGAATATACAGGCTTGTCCATGGAAAACGTCCCATAGGACGGGATGGGACAGCACACATTTGTATTTCCCATGGGACACGTGGGACACGAAAATCGTATGATTTTCGGGGAAAATATGATAAAACATTTTGTTATGGATTTTGTGTCCATATATTTGAGCATAGCTGTCTCGTTAGTTATAAAGAGCAAAACATATTCAGCCTTAACAATATACTTCGTGAAGGGGCTGATGGACACGTGTATATATAATAGGTATGGATATGAAGTTAACAAAGTCCGTAAATTTTGTTTTTTTGCATGTCTCTTCGTGCATGTAGTCCTATTTAGTAGACGCTAAACCTAAATTTACAAATTTTTATTGAATTTTATTCCAATGGGAATCCCATGGTATGGGATGGGAATGGGACAGAAAAATATCGTCACGCTAATAACCGTATTGCGTAAGTCATTTTTAGCAGTTTTGAGAAAAACGTAAAAAACTTCCTAATGATATTGTTATGCCATTGAGAGTCAATAATTTGCCTTAGTTCAATTTTTTGATCGTAGCCGGATTTAAGTTAATTTATATGACGCAGTTAAGTGACGTCATAATGGCGCACTGTGACTTAGGCAGAAATGTGTCTATGACTTGGGGACATACGCAATTTTGCAACTTTACTATATGCACCAGTCCTAAAAACTAAACTTTCCAAAAACGAATGTAATTCTCAGTATCTACAATGTATAATCCCCAAAATAGCTAATCAGTTTCAATTACATTATTTTTTATGTTTAAAAATATATATTTCATCAATATAACACGTTCTGCACACCCACCGAAATAAGACTAAGATTAAATATAAAGAATAAAACAGCAATACACCCATTCTAAAAGCCAACCAAGATGAACTGGACTCGGACAGTGAATATCACAAGTGCACGCCTTCCTATACTGTAGTATAAATTCAAATTAATACGCGCTAAGCTAGAATCCGAGATGCAAAAACTCGAAATTGCTTCGCAGAGGTTATTTTGCCCTTGTGGCGTCACAATAGTCCCGCGGTAACAATAATAATAATTCCTTATGACGAAACAATTGCACAAATGTGCATGTCATACTAAATCTCCATTTTTATGGGTTTCGGTATTCTAAAAATAAAATCTGAGTTAACAGACAGGTGCGCAGCATTACATAAATACCTATTTCATAAAAATCTCAAAATCGCCAAAAATGACTTACGCAATTCGGTTATTAGCGTGACGATATGTCCCATGGACAAGCATGTGGATATAGTATATACTGTTTTCGATATCAACATTTTAAACAATGCAGAAGAAAATAAAGTTCAGTTTATACTTTCCGTATTTAAAAAATAAATACCTTCAAGTACATTGAATGATTCACACAGTTTTTCAAATTAGCCTTCCATAAAGTGATAGAGCCTTGCTTCAGGTTGGGATTGTCTTCTTCTTTGCCATAAAATCCTACTCTAGAGTTAGCCACATTGACATCGGGTGATATAGAATAATGGATTCCTAAAACAAAGAAACGACCTCCATTATCTACGCATTGGCAAAGCACAGAAGCCTAACAAACTTTTGATTCTGCCTTTTTTGCTTCCTGCTTTTGTCTTGCGATCAATGTTAAAAATAGGTATTCATTCAGGGCGGGGGCAAAGAGAAGCATAACAGATGGCTCTCAAATGGTGTGAGTCCACAAACAACATACAAACTGTTATTAATAATAAAAACTCCTTCAAATACATATAAACATGTATATTGGTCTCAAATGGTTCACGATTTACGTTAGTGTAATTCTGTGTGTCCCACGGGATAACCTGTTATACGGTATGATGAAAGTTTTCCCATAAATTACAAAAAAAAGATTTGTTTCGTATTTAAGTCTCGTATGAAACCTGGAACATATTTTTCCACCATTGTCCTAAAGACATCCAAGTTTCACAAAAGTGACATGTATAACAAATAAATAACAAACTTTAAATAATGGAATGGCAGAATGGTATTTAACATTGTTTTAATTAAATAAACGCCGTTCTTACCGATTCCAGGGGGTACTGAAAGTCCGTGAAACGAGAAGCAAACCGTACATGCAATACAGGCAGAATTGCTGTATTCATCAATCGTTGTATTTTGTCTCCAACAGTTATCATTTTTTCTGTCTATCATTGGGGTTGTGATAGCAAATGTTGCATCAATTTTAACAACTGGTCGTGTCTTTAGTATGACGATTTCATCTGAACCAGGACTTCCAACTAATATATCTACAATATTGAAAGAAACATGAATAATTCATATTTAATTGTAATCAATTTGTACATTGATTAAATAAATCAAATAAATATGTTAATAATTCCTATTTGTGGCTATCATTTGTAATAATTTGCATAATAAATATTTGAAGTAATTATTTTCTGTTATTATAATTTGCATTTCTATTACTCCAGTAAAAGCCGTTCGACCTAACCACTTTATCATGACATTTTCTCTTGGATTGAGATCCCGTGCCCCCAACTCACCCAGGAAGCAATTTGGGTAATTCAATTTTATATTAATCGGATATATAAAGTTTCATGTATATTTCAATTAATTAGAAAATGGCACTTAGAAAATTCCAGCTCAACGTGAACCAAAAATGAATTAGAATTTATTTTGAATCATGACATAAAGGGAAGAGTAATTAAAATCGTTCATCATCTCTGGTATTGTGTAACATATGTTATACAGAAATCGACCATACCTAAAACTCCGGTGCGCGTTTTAGTTCTGAATTTATTACTTTCACGCACACGTTTGTAACGAAACTAATAAAAGAGTTTTATGTACAACCATTATAAAGTGTCCAACTAACCCGGGTAGCCATTTTCATCAACGTCAACGCCCCCAGCAACACTTTGACCAAACAAACCGAAACCTGGTTTATTTTTGAAAGAAGATGCACTGATCCTTTGAGTGTATTTACTATCAATACCATACTTTGTCCCACTGAATAAATATACGGCTCCATATCCTTCCTCATACGTTGCAGATATTACAATATCTGAGAAATATCATTGACATTTTTATTTAGGAGCAAACGCAAATTCTCATATTCGAAATTTTTGTGTAAACTTGATATGTTTATGAAAATTTCTAATTGTACCAAATAAAATTTAAGTTATATCCATTCTGCTTTGGATATATATATTTTTAAATATAAATCTAAAATACAAACTTTTTGACATTTGGAGACGCGAACCCATGGAATTTGCGAATATAAACAACTGGTTGTCTACTGTTCACGAAACGTAGAATATTGTTTTTAGTTTTGGTGCATATGATGCACAGAACAATACAGAATATGACTATTTTGTACTATCATTCTATCTGTATTACGATTAAATAAGTCAAAGAAACGCCCCAAATATTGCGATAATTTTAAATTTCGGGACTACCTGGAAACATATCCAATGTAATGTCTCCAACAGAAGTAATAACGATTCCAAATCGCGAGAATGGAAGATTTGATCCTCCAAGTATGTAATCTGGCTTCAAGGACTAAAATGTAAAATAAAAATTAAAACCTTTAAACATACTTCAGCTTCATTCATGATTTGATATCACGTCATTCAGTTTCATTGAGAAATGACGTAAATCAAAAATATTCGATTCCTCTTCTGTTTTTACAGTAATGGTGTGCTGAATTACTTACTCCTAGTATATTTTGTTAAATTTGTGATCTACTATAATAAATGTTTGAGTTTAAGTTAATTTGAATGAAAAACAAAACAGTAACAGTAACAGTAACAGTAACCCTAAGTCACCGAATGTAGAAGTTCATCAAATGATACCTTATCAATTTAAAGTTAGACAATAAGCCAATTTTGTCTAAAGAATGCAGCATTCCAAATTATTTAAATAACATATCACCATATTTTTAGCTCCCATGTAAACATAAACCCTGCCTTCGTCAGAAGTTTGATCAGTGTATAATGGAGCGCCAACTAGAAGATCGTCGTATCCATCATTATTCAGATCTACAGCACAGAGTGTGGCACCAAAATATTCGCCAAGCTGTTAATAAAGCGTAAACTACGTCAATGGTGGATTTTAAAATACGTAGGCTATTATATACATGTGAATATATTACGGGAAAACCAAAGTCGATGACACAGATAATGGTAAGGAATGAGTGTCTTTTGGCATGTTACTATTTCCAAATTAGTGATTGGAACTGGTAAACAGTTAAAGATTGATTTTAGATGCATAGGTATATATGATCACGAAAGTTGCCTGCAAACGAGAGAAGTTTTGTAATTCTCTCACACGTGATCATCGCTTCAAAATTTGAATATGTAAACCCATATAGTTCGATGTTGAACGTATAGAGGAGCATCGTGTGCGCGTGCAACAAGGACGAAATGAATACAGTTTAGGTGCACAGAAATAATATTATTCGAAAACAAGCAACAAGTGAAATCCTAGCATGAAAACATGATACAAGCGGCGGAGGTACGACTGAATATTCACGATAGGCCTACAAGGCGCAGGAAGGCGATGACAATATCTCAATGCTAGACGGCATAGAATACAAAAGATAAGTTGTAGAGTTGATTTCCAAGTAAGCACGAGATGGACGAACGTATGCTGACAAAATCGCAAGACACCAAAAGGCATATCAGTAGAAAAATATAGACTTATCGTATTCGAAAACGTATACAAAAAATTAAGACGATACGAATGGTATGGGAATTTAAAAATGGGGACCTGTTCTCCTTGTAAAACTTGATCCTTTGTAATATGTCGAGGATGATCGGATTTATATATTACAACAACACCAGTTCTTGCATAACGAGGTGCGCTTGCTGCGATATACCTTCCTTGTGAAGTACCGTAAAAGTTACCCGATGTTACCGCATATCCTGACAAGAAATATTCAATATCAATCACGTTGAGTAATTTTTATAAAATAAAATAAATCAAAGATTCACATAACAAAATTGTTGAATTAAGCTAACATTCAGAAAATATAAATTCTTAAAATTGCTTATCAACGACCCAATCAACAATTTATTTAGTTTTCACAAATGAATGAAAAATTATTAAGATTGGCGTAAACAAGTTTCATACCGAAATAAGAGTCATCCATGCTTCCACCTAAAACTTCCTCTAGTTCCTCTCTAGTTGGTATTGAAAATCCGCTAGATGTTTTCAATTTTTCTGATTCTTCTATAGGAATTTTTTTTCAAATTACCAAAAAATATCAAAAGTTGTAAAAATTAGTAATTCTCCTTTGACATTTTATTATTTAAAGTTAGTCAGTCAGTAGGTCATTTTTAACCATATTAAAAATAGGCTACACTTTGTACGAACAATAAATAGAAAATAAATACAAAAGACTTTAAAAACAATATTTTGTATGCAATAAGATACAATTGGAATTTATTTGGAAGAGAGATATGAATATATATTTAGATTTTAAAACATGTTACAGTGTTATCTTCACTACCTTATTTGAGTAATATTATTAACAAACTATTACAAAAATTAAGCATTCATCTTTAAAACTTTATCTAGGGCCTAGTTTCTAGGCATATTCGACTTTTATTTTACATTACGTAGAAATTACCGAAAGAACTCGTCCTTAATTTTCAATACCTGAATTATTCGTCAAATTTGACGGTATGTTTTTCTTCGACCACATATTTGAAGTTGTTGCATTCTGAAACAGATATAATATCCATTACTCACTATCAGCGATTTGTGGTCAACATAACACATTTTACAATCATTGTCATTTGGTAGATTATGCCTGAATAAGATCTTAACTCAAAATAATCAAGTCTGGACTACTTAGGCATACATGGTTAATTTTTTAGAACCATGCTCGTACAGGGAGGATCTAGTACCTGTTCCATCATTTTTCTTACAAATCATATGGCCATCTGGGGCGACGAATTTATGTTGCAATGTACTTACAAGTTGAAGATCTTCTATGTCTTCGCCTTTCAATTCTTCATGTTTGATAACGTTTCCTGCCTGTTATAACATCCAGGTGATCCCATAACAAGAAAGTCCTGTAAGTGTATATATTCAAATCATTTCATGAAAAGTTCGGCAATATAATTTCGATTACTATTAAAATATATAAAACTTTCGACATTTTGTCGCATTTAATATAGGTAATTCTATTAAATTTCTTCAGAAGTGACAAACATAGTTTGATTTCAACAATTTTACCTCAGGATGTTGTCAGCGAGATGGTTCCTTTTTGTTAAATTAAAGGTGAAGCTATTTTTGGTTGCGGCAACAAGTTCAATTCATATATATATATATAAACTATAACCAGTAGACTAATGTAGTACTAATTTATTCACTGGCAACAAAACTTCGAAAATTACCTTGTTGCGATGCAATGAAAATCCCATTTGACAATTTTGCATAGAATCTGACCCTTTCGAACCTTGGTTGACAACAAAAATACATTAATTTGCTAACTAGAATTACACAGTTTATTTTTCATGTTTTATACTAAAATGATTGCCTTTTACCGAAGTAATGAAAAAAAATTAAATCAATCTAACACCACATGCTTTTTCGTCGAGGAGTTCACGAAAGACTCATTATAGGAGGATAAAGTGAAATAAACGAATTTTTGTATGAGCAAAATTCATTATACCTTCTAAATTTGAATAAGAAACGCTTTGTCTTAAAGTATCCCGTACTTGCTCCAATTGTGAGAAGTCCTTGACCGGAAAAAAGTTTTGTGAAGTCCCACTGATGCTTATAAGTTCTGAAGCATTGAATTTTGCGACCCCAACTGCTAGAATAGTTGCATTTCCGGAGCGTGTTATGTTGACTTGAGTGCTGAATTTAAGACATGTACAATATATATTAGTTCTATTTTCTGTGAAATAGTTTTATTTAATAGTACTGGCACACCAAATATTCTGGTTAACTTAACTGGTGTAAAGAAATAATGCAGCTATTAGTTATACTGGGTGTCCGTTCCTGGTACTCGTATGTGAACTAATGTATAAAATAATCTTTTTTTCGAACAAGAAACGAACAAACTAACATCAATTGAGATTTGTCTTCGACAGAAGTTTCTCCGTCAGTCAGTAAAATAACCATTTTCTTCGCGTCGGGTCTGGCGGACGGTCCCCATAAAAGTTCGTTCGCAAATTTGAACGCAAGTCCTTGAAAATAACAGAGTATAATTGTTTGAAAACTGAAAATAGGTCCAAATATTAAACTATTCAGGTCACCGTTTGTCTTGTATTGTATAACTTTATAATTGTTTACCTGTATATGTTTTCCCAGCCTCATACGGTAGTTTCCGCAAACCTTCCAGCATTTTCCATCTTTTTTCTGTCCCGCTATTTCCGTATTTTTCAAATCCTAGTTCGAATGTAGCACTCGTATACTCTGTAAAAAATTGTACAGTTTTAGGATAAAAGACAATCAATATATTATTACCACTGCCAAATTTTAACACTCGGTACAGTCTAAGAGCACCAGGTTCGCTGGAAATATTTGCAGAGAACCAATACCTAATCCGCCGAGAAAGCGGAATATAACAAAATTTGACTCATTTAAAATGAATTAGTCCTGTAGTTCAAGGAAAAGGCTGTTTTCCACAACAGCAACAAGACTACTGACAACAACAACTATGTAACCAAACGATCCATAGGTCCACTTCGGGAATAAAAAGTGAGAATAAGTCTTGCTCTGCAAAATAATAACAAAAACATATCACCTTCACTGCTGTAGATCACAATACCAATGTCTTGATCATTTGGACCAATGGTAAAACCTCTTACGATATTTCTCAGCCAACGTTTTACTTTTTGAAAATTACATTGATTGACACTGCCAGATTGATCAATAAGAAGAACAATGTCGATTTTACCTCGGATGCATCCTAAATGAAACAATACAAGCTGGACGACAAATTTGCTTCATCCTTGTTGCTATTTGAAGATGGTTTGATAAAAAAATCATGTGCTGTGGACAATCTATTAGGAATACAGAACGGAGCAAGAAAAGCGTGGTGTTCAAGTTATTATTGAAAAACAGCTTTTTACCTATATATAATGTCCGTAAAAAAAAAAAAATTTACACTATTTATATTACACAAGGATTGATTTATTCCTGTTTTGTTTATTTCTATTTAGACACCAACGTTGTTGATCTGGTTCATTTTAAAAAACCTTTACATGATTGGAAGCAAACCTAATAACAAAAAATTATTATTGTTTACCTGTTGATACCCAATTATTGTTTACCTGTTGATCCAGGATTTTTTATAGCTCTAGGTTGCGAAGTATTACTAGTAATCTCGTAACATATTCCAGTAGCTTCTTTTGAATAACCGCAGTTTTGTTGCCAAAGTGAGCCGCACGCCTGGAAAAATATTGAAAATAAAAATACACGGAAATATCAAGCAAGTTGACTGATTTGCATCAATACTTGTATAATAACAGAGTCTGTGTGTGATATAAATTCAGAAGAACGCCTATTGTTGGATATCAATATTCATTAAAATAAACAACTGAATCTGATGAGTCAACTCGTAAGTTGTATTGATGTAGTCAATTCCACGCAACAACCACAAACTAGCTCACAGCTGTTTCAATTGTAATTAACTTTTACATCTAGTTATGCTTGTGAATTAGCTTTTAAACTTTCATAAAAGTTATGTTCAGGTTTTTATCAAATTTCTGTCGAAAATGCCTACAAGTACCAATTTAGGCGTTACTTGATATTGCTCACCGTAAGGGTTTTATTGTTCTCATCGTGAAGTTGTATATTCATACTCATTCCGATAGACTGCTCACCTTCAAGTACATCAACATCAACAGGTTCGTCTGAATTTTTGATTTTGAAACGTAAGTTAGAAAGTTTAGAAAGAAAGTGCGTTCAAGCCGACAATTTAAGCGTTATATGTAGATTTAATCCTAACCAAGTTGGGTAGTGAATACAATTAAGAAACTATTTGAAGTGAAAAATATAAATATACCTTCGCATGCAGAATTTGCCACCGTTATGTCCGATAGAACAATATCAGCTGCGGCTGAGCAAACCTTTGGACATCTCTGTAAGCACATATAGTATTAATACAAACCAGAAAATAATTTTGTGTTTTACTGCAAATGACAGCCTTTCTAAAATAAATGAATCGGCAATGCTGGATATGATTGTATAGTCTCAGTTTACCGTTAATATCCTTTTCAGTACATGATTCCAATTCACACGAATCGCATTTGCGAAATATATTGCAAAAGTTAACTTAAAAGTGTTGTTATTATTGTATAATGTATATATTTGATTCAAAAGAAACAACGTCATAAGTTGATATAAAATACTCAATCGAATATCATTAGCTAAATATCAGTTATCAACAAAAGCTTGATCTGGTTCAAACAACTATAGACTCTATTGAGTAATGTTGAAAGTTTATTTTTCACCCATCCAATTTTGTTTGTTATGATAATGCAGGAAAATGTACTCACCCTGGGATCTGATTTACAGTTAGGTTTGACCAGTTGGTTTACAACCGAAGCCTTAAAAATAATCTGAAAATATGTGGACGCATTACCAAAATATCAATAAACCTTACTTTTTGTAGCAAGTGGAATTTTTATGTTAAATTTGATATCATAGGCGGGATGAAATATTACCAAAAAAGTACATAATGGTAGGAAAAACAATGGATTATCATTAATAAATCCAGAACAGAATATAGAATAGCAAGGGCATCATCGTTTTTCAAAATCGAGCGGGATTGGGCATATACGAGTAGGCTTGCACATGACTTTATTAGCAGAGTAATAATGAAACAGACCATAGAAATATGTTGATGCATAAATTATATTTTTTTGTGAAGTGGAAATAAAATGAAATTCCACATGTTTGTTTTTAGGCAATATGAAACTGCTTTAGGATCAACAAATTAAATCTATATTTGATTACACTATAAGTATGGCCTTGTTTATATTGGCCAAGCCGAGATGCAACGGCAACATAGCAAATTGATTCCAAGTCTGTGAAATGGGTAAATAAGGAATTATTCAAAAATACCAATAATGGTTTTAAATCCGTAATATACTCATAAATACCCGAAAATACTGACAGCAAAACTTGAAGTCCAGTAACCATCAGGATGTTTAATTCATTTTCAAATAAGAGCGTTCAAGTAATCTGCGATTTTATTTTTTATATTCTGATCACACACACGCTAAAATACTACGAGGTGATGACTATTGTAAAGTTAAGGAATTAACAGCTTACTTCGAATGGTTCATCGATTTCATGTCCCATATTTATTTCTGTAAAATTCCAATATTTGCTCGCAATATCTTTTGGTCCTCGGTAGTCAAACAACTTTTTTATTTTTCCTGAGTTTTTATATTTCATCATCACTTGCAACGATCTCGTAGGTTTTTTTGATGCCACGGGTCTGAAAATAAAAACATAATACTGAGTGAGTATATACTAACTGAGTGTATACTGAGAGAGTACACAAGGAATCACAAAATTCCGTTTTTAACAAAGTTGATATTAAAATATAATGTTTTAAATGACTTTTAAAAACAACTTTTTTAAATATTTACCGTGGTTTTCCAGTGTACCAAGTTTCGTTTTGTATTGCTTCGTCGTTATCACTGTATATAATAAAAAAAGCATCTAATGGAGTCAAATATTTCAAATACAAAAGATATTGTGAATAAGAGTTTTGCTATGACTTTTTCACACAACAAAATTCATAATGGTGTCGAGATCGTGTCACTTGGTAATTTTGTATATATAGGAGAATTTGGAAATGGCAACACAACATTCTTTTTTTTTCAAACTTTGACTTAATATTTTGGATAATTTGCAAATATAATTGCCGGTATCTTTGGGTCACCCTTGATCATCGTGTAGCATAACGAGGATGATCTTAAGATATCAGCATAATTTTACTTTATCTACATCGCTTCACGTAAAAACTGATTAAATGCTGTGATTTTGAAATCATATCATATCATGTTGACATTTTCACACATCATACCAAAAAATGCTTTCAGATCGGGATTCATAATTGGTGTAGTAGTTGATGTCCGCCACAGAGGTATAAATTTGAAAAGCGTGAAAAATCGAGAGTATGATAAGTAAAACGGAAATTTAAAAAAAAAATGGTAATTTGGGTAAAATTTTCACCAAAACTCAACGGAATGTTCTATTGTTTAAATGTAGCGGGAATTGGATTTTAAAGAAAGACTTAAAATATCTCACAAATATGTGTTTGTTTCATATTAAAATATTCGTAGAATAATAATTAAAATAATCTTAATAATAACTTAAAATAAAATAACTTAACGAAGCTTTTTCTCACTTCGTCATGTTGCTACTCACTTATAGTCCAGAATTGAAAAGGCGTTGAAACAAAACCGTAAACATTGTGTTATTCCTGCTTTCGCTGCAATTGGTTGAGACTTCAGTTCAGATATTGCTACGTTTCTGCGGCCAGACGCAATTAGGGCAGCATCCGAGTTGAATGCTAACATACCCTCTGAAGAAAAATCACGTGAGAAATTGTTCAATTTGCATTATTGATTGTGAATAATAATTACGACTCTATCAAGTATTTGGTAAAATCAGATGCGTTCTTCAGTTATATCCTAAAGCTGGAGGACGTCGGAATACGTCGAAAAGCCTTCAAAGCAGAGAGACGTCGGAATACTTGAAGATTTGTAATTTTAAATACAGTGATATCTAGGTAGTCGAAAAAATTCGTTCAGGATTGATGTTTGATAACCGATTTGTTCGAGTATCGAAACTTTTTTGCTATAAGAAACAATGGTAATTATTTTTATTCGTTCTCACGCATTCCAAAATACCAGAAATATTAACAAAACGTTGAAACGTTGAAACAAAAATTACTTATCGATTTTAATCGGTAAGTTGTGATAGGTATTTGTCTGTCTGTTTGTCTGTCTGTCTGTCTGTCTGTCTGTCTGTTTGTCTGTTTGTTGCTGTTTGTCTGTTTTGTCTGTCTGTTGATGCACGCGATATCTCACGAAGCGA